CCCCGCACGGCTCGGCGACCCCCGCGGGGCAGCGGCCAGTGGCTCCATGGTGCGTCCCTCCCGGGGCGGCCCCCGCTGCCAGGCGAGCCCCGCGCGGAATATGGAGCCCAGGAGCGGGGCAGCGAAATGTGCTCTCCCCGGAAGGGTCGTGTCTCCCCTGGCCAGACCCTCTGGGAGGGACGCTGGGCTCTGCTCTCGCTGGACCTAGCCCTCCCGGGCAGGAAGCAAAACGCGAGCTGGATCCCTCGCCGGAGCGGGATTCCCTGCCCTGCCCTGCCCTGCCCGCCCCTCCCTGCCCTCTCCCTGGCCTCTCCAGTCAGGCGACTGGCCTTTCCGCACGTTGCAAGGGGAGGCCGAGGGAGAAATCAGCTGCGGGAAGCCCCGAAGTCACAGCAGAGCAGAGATTCCTGCAGCGACACCAGTGTCTGCCCAGTCCCGAAATCACAAGGTGGGGGGACGGGAAAGAGACGCTAGATCCCACAGTCCATCCATACACCACCGCCAGGATGGACAGGAACACCAGCTTTAGCTTTGCAGCCTATAGCCAATTTTTAATCCAAAAGGGTACACTGGGAATCCCCTTGACTCAACATTTCCACTGGGTTTAAAAATAAGGCAAATTCTTCTATTCATTCTGGAGGTACAAGTCATGGCTTCATAACAAAGGTGATACCTAAGGTGCCTGTACAATCATTAATTTATTAGAAGGGGAACAGGGGTTTGATGTCTCCTTAAAGTTGTGACTCCCTGAAATCATTTGATTGATGTAGGGTTTTTTTGCAGTGAAAGAACTGCTTTATTGTTTGTAATGCTTTAAGAATCAAAGAATGTCTCTAAAACATTGCCTTTGCCTATGGAAACATTAACTTTGTAATGAAATGCCCTCACACATAGATGCTTAATGAACAGGCCATAGCAAGAGAAAAGCTACTACCACTTTCTTTCCATCCAGGAGAGATGGAAAAAGGTTGATGCAATATGAAGAGCAGCTGTTTTCCTCACCTGTGCAAGGAGCAAAACTGAAAGCTTCCCTGATGTTCTTACCCTTGCCATCTCCACTTTCATGAATTGGTAGAAGTTGCTGATTGCTGCCTAATACTTGCCACAAGTATTAGACAGCAATCGGCAAGAAAATATGACTGGAAGGAAAAGCAGGGCCTCCCTCCCAAAATTTCAGTCTCTACCTTGATGGGAGACCAGAATTGTTTCTCTTTGTTGCTTCAGATGTTCTGTCCAGTGGGAATCTTGTCTACTCCCTTCAGTCTCTCTTCAAACTGGGAAATGAACCACTGTTCCCCAAAGTATAACCATGTCAGTGACAGGATTTGGAAACAGCAGGTATGGGCCACTGTGACTTAGTAGTTCTCTGAAGTTGATGTCTTGTTCTCCAATTATATTATATTAAAAAATAACTCCATTTGCAGTTGTTATTCTTAGAACAACAAATATGAGAGAGTTTGGCAACTGCGGATCCTTCATGGTATATGCATGATAGATCACCTGGATCTGTCAACACACGTGCCTAGGCAAGAGTACAGAGGAGTAGAGGCTGCCCAAGCCTTCCATTCTTCCTTTAGGGCACTGAGACAGAATCCAAAGGCCAGACTGAGTCCAGAGGTTTGGTGCCTCCATGGCTGTACTTGTATCAGCATTAGGGAATTGAACCTCAGTCTCCTGTGGTATATACAAGGATTCTACCCCTGAGTCACAGGGGGCTCCTAACAAACATAAAGCAATTCATGAAATTATGCATTTGCAGAAGGGCTAGACTAGCAACTGAGAGAGGTGGGAACAGTCCTGTTCATCTGAGGTGTCAACTCACACATCTGTGATGATAATGATTTAAATGTCAACATTGTTCACCATTATATTTGCTATATAAGAAAAGGAAGTGTCAGAGCTGTACAATTTATGACAACAATGGCAATTTTTACACAACAATGTTGTATGGCAATTGACATCTCACTGATGTCACAAAGAGGTGGTATTTGGCAGATAACTTGACAAATTTATTTTCCTCTTGCAAAGAGGAGGAAACAGTCAGAGATGTCTAGCAGAGCCCATGGACATATTTCAGATTTACCAAGAAAGGCAGACTCAAGAAGTCCAGGGGAACCAAACGGAACACAGTCAGACTTCCAATTTTTACACAAACTACTGTTGAGCAGCAGTTAACTTTGTTGATTTTCCTAGCCAGATGCTATTTTGTAGGTGGAGTCCAGAAATATACCACCACCTTCTTCCCAGTCTGATATCTGGCTGGAAACACCATTTTTTTGTGAAGGTATAGACTTCAGGACCTCCTGCATTCCAGACTGGTTATGCTAGAAGAGAGCCCTGAGCTGTCTGTCAGAAGTAAAAGCAGTAGGAGGCTTGAGAAGTAGTGTTTTTCATGACAGGTTGGGAGGGGCAAAAGGACTCCAATACCATACATAAGCACAGGAGAAAGTAACTGAGATTTGATGGAATGGGGCTGTTTATTGGCGGGAGTTTAAGAATGAAGCAGGAGCTATCTGAAATCTTGAAGACAATGGGGGATGTGAACTGAATGAGTAGAAGGTAAGTTTGGAGAAAAGAAAGAAATACATCTGGTACGCCCAATGTATATAATAAGCAACACAAAAGCAAATCAATGAATGTAAAGAGAAGCTGACATGCATTTGAAAGAGAAAATCTTGCTTTACACAAGGTTGGTTCAGCAGCCTGAACACAGACCACTTGCTTGGAGCCTTTGTGTTCTAACCATGACTTTCTCCCTTAGCCTCTCTGAGCCAGGTTCCCAGATAATATCAGCCTACAGCATCTTTACTTACCTTACCTGCTGGAAATTACTTAGAGAACTGTAGAAGAGCAAGGCTGGAAGGTACCTCCAGAGGTCATGCTGCCCAGTGCCTTGCTCAGGGTGGTCAACCCTATGGAAGTCCTCGTATACAAATTCATCTTCATGAAGCAGTGCAAACACAGCAAGTGCAACCTCCGGAGTGCAGGCCATCAGTGGTGATGCATAGAGGGTGCATGTGCACCCCCTGTCAGGCCACACTCTCCACTCGGGCAACACTAGCGGTACTCCTCTGAGAGTGCTGGTTAGGGAGTGTGAATGCTGGATGTAGGCCATGGCCACTTCCAGGAACGCCACGGCCACTCGCTGGTCAGTAAGTTTTGCTGTGGGGGGACCCCTCCCCCTGTCACTGACTGGTTACTGGGGCGGGTGCCTCCCCAACTAAAGCACTACCAGCCCCCCCATGCAGGTCATTAAGTGTCCTGGAACACAGGCTATCAAAACCAACATTTTGAATTAGGCTACATATTGAAACCTGGTGCCAGAGGAAGAGAAGTGGGAGAAGCCAGGGCAAGGACTACGCAAGGGTTAGGCTGAAGGTAAGCCCAGTGCGGTAGCAACAAAGTTTGGTGCCTAAGGCAAAGCCCACAGCAGGAGCCCACTCTCACCCCGCCCACAGATCTGGAGGGGCACATGCCCCACCAGGCTTGCCTGAGAGTGCACACAGCAGCAGGAGCCACCCTTCCCTGTCACTGCACCCCGCAACACGAGCCGCTCGCGCCTCTGTCCCACGCTCCACCTTGGCTGGGCAGCCCCTTTGCTTCGACACCCAGAGCAGCAGCTCCTCTCGCCCCCCTTGCAAGGGCACTGGGTGAGCCGTGACCGCGCGGCAGAGGAAGCGCCCCCGGCCCAGGCTTCCCGCCAGCGGATGCAAGGCGGGCCTCCCGCTCGCTGCCATCACCGCTGTCCAGCGTTTGCCCCGTAAGGCGCCGCCTCGGAACCCTGCCCCGAGGCCTTCAGTGGGGGCCCAGAGCAGCGCGGGCGCCAGCCGCACAGATCAGGCCAGCGGCCGGAGCTAGGGCTCGAAGACCCGCGCGTGACAGCCGAGGCCGCGGGAATAGAGCGAAACGCGTCGAGGAAACCTCACAGCTCTGCCCGGCCCAGCACCGCCTCCCGCTCACATGGCCCCACCCCACCAGCCGCGCAGCCTTAGAGCTGCAGGCCCCGCCCCCGCCGGCAGAGTCGTCGGCTTCTGACGTCACCAGCAGGCGCCGGCCAGTCCTTGCAACTGCGACTGGGGCATGCTGCGGCGCAGCCCGGAAGGTGTCTCGGCGGCTGCGGCCCGGTGACTGCGGGTGGCCGTCCCGCCTCGCCCGGCACCATGCACTGTAGTTGCCGCGGAAGCGTGGAGTGAGCGTCGCTTCCCACCCCCATGGCCACCTCCGCGGCCGCGGCGCCCGGGCCGGGGCTACCCCCGGCCCCCGCGCGTCCGGACTTCTATTGGCTCCGCTCCCTCGTCGCGGGAGGTAAATTTGTACGTGACTTGGCCGCGGCCGAGTGGGGGACCCGGCAGGCCCGCGCACCCCAGGGGGCATCACGCTGCCGAGGATGGAGGGAGCCCTTGTGCCCGGCGGGCCGCGCCCCTCCCTCACTGCCCGCGCTGCCCCCGCCCTCGCGGCCCCCTCCCCGCGTTGGCCGCCCCTGCCCCGAGCGGCCTCGTCCGCGAGGGGGGCGAGGCCGGGCGCCGCCTTTTGCGCTGGGTTGAGCGCTCCTTAGAGCTTTGAAAAGACGCTGAGGCGAATGGCGGTGACTTGTACAGTGAAAAATGCAGGGCAGTGGCCGCACTCGGAGCCTCTCTCTACCGTGCAGTTGGGTGGGTAGGAGAGGCCCCCACACAGCCCTGAAGTTTAGATTAGTTACTTCCCTTGGCAAGCACCGCACTTCTATTACCTAGGGGTGGGGGGCTGGTGCTCAGTCTCCAGCCATGGAGCCTGAGTCAGGAAATTTGGCTTCCATTACCAAATTCCCAAGCCCACCCTGCAGGTCAGAGCCCAGCTGCAACCTCTTCCCCCTTGGGGCCAGGCCACACCTCCTCCCTTTGCATATGGAATCAAGGACAAAGCCATGTCCCCCTGGGGACAAACCACATCCTCTTCCCTTGCCAAGCAGGGTTGGGGCCCAGGCTGTCGCTTGTCTCCCTGCATTTGGTGGGGTGGTGCCTACTACACCTGTCCTGGGTACCAGTTCTGGACCATTGGCTGGATTTAGCCCATAGATGGACAGGGTGCTGCCCATCTGGTCTGTGGGGATAAAAGCTTGAGCATCACTGATTTAGGGGAAGACAACAGGTAATTAAAAAAAAAGTATTCAGAAAGTCCTCCAATGTAGAGGGAGCCTAAAAGAAGATGAGAAGTGGTCTCTGTTCTGTGAGCTGGTTTCTGCAGGCACAAATCTGCAGAGGTTTACCTGCATGTTTGCAGCCTCACATCTCAGTAAGTGTGTTGGAACCAAAGTTTTAACATTTGCTACTAATTAGATTGGTGTGAAGTCTTGGAATCTGTTTAAGTATTGGTACTTTGGATTTTGCAGATCTTTTACACACAAGCTTGAGGGGAGACAAATGTTAGGGGCAGATTTGTTTTTAGTATTGTTTCTTTCCCAACATTTTCCTTTGAAAACTGGATTTTCATAAGGGCGTATGTGAGGAGTAAGCTAAATGTGCTAGTTTTTATGTTAATATACCTTGGAACTCTAATTTAAAGGGTTGTGGCTTGCAGGAGAGTCCCAAGCAAGTAGAATTGTTTTTACTTGTAATACAACTTGTTTGACTGATGTATGTATGTCTGCCTATTTAAATACAATTTGTTTGATTGATGCATGTCTGCCTAATTATGCATGTTTCAGAATAGGTAAAGATTGATACTTCTGCGGCACATTCATGAAAGTCTTGTCTTTTGAAGTTTTATGTTTGCACTCATGGCTTCTGAAAAATAAGAGTTGAGGGAGAGAATCATGATATGGAGAGAAAGTAGACTTCCGCAGAGGTACCAACCACAGTAGTGGTCTTGCAGCTCTACTTGGTATTCATAAAGAGGTATTAAGATGTTAATCTGTACTCATTACCATGTTTTTGGCTGGGTAATGATTAGATAAGAACCAAGTAGTGCTGCTGAAATGGCACTGAAAGAGTGGACATGCGAGAGCTCAGTTGGTATTGCATACCTAAAGAGAGAATAGGGAAAATTTAATTTCTGCTAAAGCAGGTTATTGGGCATTAACAGCTCAGAAAGGTGATCTGTTTAAAAGGGTGTTAAAGTTGATCTTGCTCACTTTCACAGAAACATGCAGAATTTTTAAATATTTTTTTTCCTCGAAAAGAGTTCGTTGCTTTAATTTCTGGGTAGAATTTTTATCCAGTAGAGAAACATAGTATTTCCATATTGATATGAACATCTTTTGCTTCCCCTCCTTTTGTGTGTTTGTTTTGTTTGTTTTTTTTTTGTTGGTTGTGGTAAGGTGTTGCTGGGTGTTGTGCCAAAAGTACCATTGCACCATTGGATCGAGTAAAGATTTTACTGCAAGCTCATAATCACCATTACAAACATCTAGGTAAGATGACTGCTGTACATCTTTAAAAATATGCTAAATTATATTATTTAGGAAGGTAGTTGTATCTGTTTACAAGTAATACTGTTAAGCACATGAAATAGTTTGATAGACAGTTGTATTTGCCTGTACAATTCAGTTGCTTTCTTGCTGTGTTTTAGAGTTAGAAATGACTGCTAAAGTGAGGGAGCTATCTGCAGAATACTTAAGTTTCAGTACTTAAATTTTACAGGTTGTGTTGTGGGGAATAAATGTCAATAATATGTCGGGCCAGGGTTTGATCTGTTCTGACTGAAGTAAGGATTTTCACAGAATCAAGCCTGCCCTTCCTTAAGCCAAAAATATTAGAACTAAAAAGTCTGTGTTACTTCTCTTGTTCCTAACTCCTGTTGCATAGAGCTCGGGACCCATATTTTTCAGGACGTGGTAGGTAAGCACAGAACAGACTGTCATTATAGCTGGGATTATCTATCTAAAAACAGTTGTTATTAAAAGGAAATAAAGTCTCTTATAAACGGGCATATCCTGCAGGCCTTTCCTGTGTGCATATTCCAAGGCAATGATGCTACTTATGCTAGCAGTGAGTCTAGAGTCAGGTACTTGATTTTTTTTCCCCATTAACTGACTCTACTTTGCATTTGTTCCAAGTGACCTGTAATTCAGTACTGCATTAATGGCACCTGATGGTTGAGAGAATAAACCCACAAAAGTCAACATATGCAATGGTATTCCCAGAGCAATAGTAACACTGCCCCCTTGTGTGAATAATATAAAATATTTTGTTGAATAATGGCCTGTTATTGCACAACTTGGAAATAATTTGCAGTTTGATTAAGTTAACATAAAGAGAACTTATACATGTGCAAAATCCCAGTAAAATTCAAGAAAGAGTCTTTAATAAGGGCACATGGGGAGGAGAATGTCTAAGCCATAGAAAGTGTATTCAAATGATTGTGTCTTTTGTTCAATGTACAAAAGAAATGGGGAACATCAGGTATACTTGACTGTAACATCACAGTCACATACATTGCATAGGCAAACATGCGCATAATATAATTGCAGTCAGATATAACACTATGTTTGACTAATTTTTTAACTTCAACGTTTTGTGAACGTGCATCAAATTAAATATTACGTTCTCCTCTATCAAGCATATGTCATTTAATTTCTGTAGTACTAAGAATGACTACATTTGAATTGAATGCACAAAGATGAAAGGGGGAAGCATGAGGGAAAAGTAGATGAGATGTAGATAGAACAAGAACAAAGGTTAGAAAAGCAGTTTTCGTGAACTGGGGAAGGGAGGACAGGGACACTTCCAAACACCAAAAAAATGCTTGTTTTCACAGTGTGTAAAATCACTTCTTGGCTTCTTGTAGGCCAAGATCAAGTGAATTATGCAATTTTCAAATTAAATTATATTTGTTATTTTCACCCCAGAACACTTTTTAAAAGAGAACTTTCTCGTTCCAGTTTGGTTAGTAAACCAGTGATCAAGTTGAAGGATTAGTTTAGGGCAGAAAACCAGGAAAAGAAAACTCAGTTTCATGAGTAAACATTATTTTTATATAAAAATGTTTGTATATACAGATAACAAGAGACTTGCATACACAGAGCTGTGGGAACATATTGCTCTGTTTTTTAAAATTTGTGCATTTGATAGCACTTGTGCATAGTAAGTAAAGTGTTCTGTTACTAAGGACAGTCGATTCCTTACTTGGCCTTGCCCAAATTTCATGTATGATTTTGGCCAGATCCCCATCTATAAATGGGGATAATACTGCTTTCTTCCCACAGCACTCCTTTGTGGTAATGAATGATAGATACTTAAGTACAGTAGTGATGAGTGTCATAAAAAGCCAGTACATCATTTCCTTTTTTTCCTGTGTAGTCAAGTGTTCAATTTCTGCATTTCATGCAGAAATGGGGAGATGAAAAACATTTAAATAAGAAAATGATTGTAAAGCCACAAATACTGGTAAAGGGACCGAGGGGCAGGCGTAGTAAATTTCTCCTTTTAATGAACTAGAATTGAAGTTGACAGTACCTATTAATTTTTTGTGGTATTTTTAGTACATAGTATTTTTGGGGGGGAGGCACTGCATGGAATAGTTTTCCTTCTTCTCTGGTCACATTTTACAAAAACATGGGGCCTCAGTACATTGATCCATTAGGAGTTTCCACTGAGTCTGGGAGGTGAGAATGCTAGTAAATTTAAGGTTAAACTTATTTCCCTTGGATAATATTTGGGTACTCTTAAGTTGTTTTTCTGCCCTTCAAGCTTTAGTGTACATATTGTGGTCTGACCTTAGTTATTTATATATACTGTCTTATTGTTAGTAATCCTAGCTTGAATATTTGTTCATTGTAACTGTTAAATATCTTTCTTTGTATTGCTGACAGGAGTGTTTTCTACATTGCTTGCTGTCCCAAAAAAGGAGGGTTACCTTGGGTTATATAAAGGAAACGGGGCAATGATGATTAGAATCTTTCCATATGGTGCAATTCAGTTTATGGCATTTGACCAATATAAAAAGGTAGTTTTGATTTATATTGTTTTCTTTTCAGCTACAAAGAACACAGTTGCTTAAAATCAAGCAATAGCTAGTCTTGTGTCCTATTAAATAACCCTCTTTTTTTCAGATTAATTTAAAGTATACATTAATCTACCCTATTTAAAAAGGTAAGGGCAACATTGAAAGTGTTTCTGGTACGGTTTAAGGAAAAAATTGCTCACAAAGTTCAGTGTATTGTTTTACCATTAATAAGCAGAGTGTATTTTTGAAACAAATAAACAAAGAACCCACCCCACTTCTGGGGTCTACTGCTAGCCATTTTGTTAGGTATAATTAAAAGGGGATCCTTGGCTTTCAAAAATGTAGAATGTAAATGTAGCACCTCTGCCTCCCTTTTAATATTGGGTTGGAAAGTACTTGAATAAAATTAAAATTTTGAAATTTGAAAGAATTTGTCGTGTTTGGTGGAACCTGGTTTTTGTTTTGCACCATATCTTTATTTTTTGGGTGATAGGGGGAAGGGTCTGAAATGCAGTGTTTCAGGATTCCAGAGCATCCATGAATTGCCTTTTATTGCTATATGTTTAGTCTTCCAGTGATAAATCTTGGAAGTACCTTCTGTATCTTGGCTATTTGTATAAGTACATATTTAAGCATTACTAATACTTTGTCAAAATAATGCTTTTACTGTTTGCATTCAGGAATTATTTCAAAGCTTGGATTTGGCTCCCATTTAGGTCAGTGGAATAAACTGCACTAAAGTCAATGCGAGTTGGATCAGACTTGGAAAAAATGCTGTGAAGACTTCCTTTTTAGCAAATTTTGGAAGAGAGAAATTACACAATTGCAGTTGGGGAGCTAACATTTAAAAGCCTGGTATCTTTTCAAAGAGCAAACTTGAAAAGATACCCAGAGTCACTTCTAGAGTCTTAAATGTAAGCTCCCCTATTGGCATTATGTAATGTGTCTCTCTGTAGTTATGAATAAGAGAATGTCACAAGTCGTCTTAACAACATTTTTACATTGTACTTCCTTATGCAGTAGGTAACATAACGTAAGTGTTTGGGACTCTTAAGACCTAGCGGTTAGGCACTAAATTAGTTTTAAAATCCTAGAATTCCACATGTGATTCAGAACAGGCATCAACAGTGAGTTTTTGTTGTTGTTTTTTTTAAATGTGAGAATTGTCTTACCATAATGCTTCATGCGAGTGATTCATCTAGCTGTCGCTAGATGACAGTAACAGATGCTTCACAGGAAGGTGGAAAAAACTTTTTAGTAGAAAGATACAAAATTTGTCCACACAAGTATCTTCCCAACCCTTATTCATATATATATTTTTTTGCTTTACCCTGGGAACCTGAAGTTTCGTATTCTTTTAATGGGTTTAAATAAACCTAAAAGTTTACTAATAAAACATAGAATTTGTACCATATAAATGTGTAGTTCTTGTCAATCCAGCTAATTGAAGTGCATGTGTATGGTGTGGTATTTCCTTTGTCTAAATTTGTTTATTTCCAGTGGCACTGAATGTCCCCTTCTCAGCAATATAAGAAAAGGGAACTGTTTCTTTGCGTTTCTTGTACATTTGATAAAAACTATACAAAATAACTAGTCAAATTTGTCCCAATATTGTTGATTTGATTTGCATTGACTATTCATACAAAAGTTTTAGCACATTGTCATCTACATTAAGAGCTGGGAAATTGAAAAGTCCTTGAAAGGCACTAACCAGTTAACAGTAATTAGTATTTTGTTTTAATTTTTAACTTTGTAAAGCTGGTCATAATATGCCTTGAAACAATTTAAATATATTTTTAGTAAACTTTGTGCTTTGTTTCCTTTTATGTTTGACTTATTTCTGTTTTGTATTAAAAAATTGCTATTTTCTAGCTAGTAAAGCAGAAACTTGGGATTTCTGGGCATGTGCACCGGTTAATGGCTGGATCCATGGCAGGTATGCTTTTGCTCTTAATTTAAACTATATTCTAAACTAAATTCTTAATATAAATTACATCTTCAAAAGTAAATATTTGTTTAGAGAATTAGAGTGTTCTGAAGATAAATTGTGTTATAAAAATCAAAAAGTGTAGATAGTAACTTAATATGTTTCCTTTAGAGGAAATATGTAAAATCAAAATATAAAAATGTTCATTTAAATGTTTAAAAGTTAAAAATTGTGCAAGTATCAGATAAGCTCTAAAACAATAAGAAATGCTTCAACAAATATTTTTATATTTGTTTAAAGTATTTGTTACGACTCATGCCAGTAAAAGAAAATCATAGTGAATAATAGGATTTTAGCTGTCTGTTCACTTTTCAATAAACAAAGCTCATTTAGTAGCATTAAATATACGTCTAAGTTTTACTTGGTTCGTGTTTTTTATGTTAATTTTTTTCACAACATTGGTTTTTGTATACATTACAAAATGTGGCACAGTTCAGATGGGAAAGGAATTTAAAATATAAAAATAAATATGAGCATATTTTGTGTATTGCTTTCAGTGTGCCTAACATTTGTGTGCAGAAACTATTAATATTCAATAATAAATAATTAATAACTTAATTTGAAAAATGTACTTCTGTATTGCTGTTTGTAAACATTTCAGCAGCAAAACTTATTACATGCATTTACAAGAGAAAAAAACAGTATTGTACAAATACAATATAGAAAGGGTAAGTTACAGTCCAAGTATCAAAGAAGCATATATGTATGTATGAGTGGATTTTGTGAACCTTCTTAAAATCCCTAGATTTGCAAGGCTCATTATAATGTCATCACCAGACTGTGAGCATGCAGTCATATAGACTTAAAAAAATCAGAACAAGTTTTAATTAGTGGTAGAAGAAATAAGTATTGCAATCTTTTGATGTTACACATTTATATTTTCCCTTTGTCAGTCACTTGAAACAAAACTTCTGAGGGAAAAAAAGAACAGAATTTGAAAACAAATCTTCAATTTTCTGTTCAATGAAGAAAGTTCTTTACATAATCTTAAGCCTTATGAAAGGTATTACACACTTTTCATGTAGTGATGACATGGTATTGGGTATTTAGCTTCTTTTTAAAAGAGACTTAGCAATGTTAGGCTGAAATCGTGCAGAAAGCAGAGTAGAGATGTACCTTACAGATCCACTGAATCAGATGCATAGGAAAGCTTATGCATGTGTGATTCAGTTAGTTTGTAAGATGTATGTTTACTCTGCCGCCTTTTAAAAAGTGACGGTAAAGCAAAGACCATTGCCCTCAGCTAAACTAAAAAGAAACCTTGTGTCCAGAAAAGAGTGACAGTGAAAAGAAACAACTCATGAGTCCTTAAACTTAGCAAAGTATGTGTGGACAGATATGTTCAAGAATTTGGCTGGCTTTAAACCTGAGTCAGATTGGGAAACTGCTTTTTCTGGCCCTGTCCACAGAAAGGAACTTTTTTTTTCTTAAGTTTTGTTATTGTTTCAGTGAGGCAGTGTTATTTGTTTCGGAGTAGGATCCTATTGTGCAAGGTGTCATACAAACATAGAACAAGTTTATTCCTCATTTTAACTCTACTTGCTTAAGAATGTCTGGGGTCTTATGTAGAGAAGACTACTGGCTACCACTGACTTAAGCTCTAGGTTGATAAAATTTGTTTTAATAAATTAATTACAGTAATTAAAACAGGAAAATAAATCTTGAGAACTAGAATCAAGACTTCATTACATTAGATATTGTGCAAATATAGGGTAAAAGAATCCCTGAAGAACCAAAAAAAAGCCCTAAATGGACTAGGCTAAGCATGGGCAGGGGGAAGGGATATAATGTACTAACTATGGGTAACGTGATGACTGACAAACATTTTGTTCTAAAAATGTTTCTCTTTAGACTTTTGTTCCTGTTTGGGAGGGAAGGGCCATTAGGGAAGAGACTCATTTTGGCTTGGGGAGCCTAAAGGAGAAAGAACAGAGGTGAGCATGGAGAGCAGTGGAGCATGACTCACTTGAGGTGTATGTAAGGGAAAGAATAGGAGGGAGTTGGTATAAAACAGACCATTAGTTCAGAGGAGAGAGTATTCAGAGAAGGAACCGAGTAGATAATCTTGACAGCATCAGTGTTCAGTACCTCCAGCTGCAGTATCTTGAGTGTGCTACCCTACTTGAGCCTTTAGTTGCTTAACACCCAGGGGTTTCTTCTCTGACAGGCTTGGCTGAGATGGGGGAAGGAACTGTATAGGCTGGGGGAGGAAGGGTTACCCTAGTGGTCCTTTGTTCTGTCATCCCTGCTCTGTGGTGGGCTGTGCTGTTTCTTTGTTCTTGCTAGGCTAAGGTTTGGGGGGAGGACGCGCTAACCTTATGTATGCCATGTTCCCAACATTACAGACATCAGTAGAAATGAATCAGTGTTAACAATGTTAGGAAACTTTTGAATATCTTCCTTAAATTATATAAGGTCAAAGGCATCTCCCCACTGAGGAGAAAAGTGGTAAGGATGGTGGGGGGGTAGTGGAATGAGAACAAAGGGACACCCTATTGTAATGCATATATTCAAGGAGGCCAGGTTAAAGTTACTTTGGAAACTTTAACTCTGAATTTCCTGACTCCTGTGTGATTCAAATTTTAGTAGTAACTGTTAATTAACAGGTAACTGCCTTAACTTCCTTTTAAGGAAAATTAAATAGGGGAGAAGATAGAAAAAAATGGATATTAGAACTGTTTGGGGGAAAAAAAAAGAATACATTTACACAATACTCAATAGGAGGTATTTTTTTTAAAACTAAGCCTTTGAATTTTCCCAGTGTAGAATACTTGAATTGAAATACAGAAACATATTCTGAAATACAGAAACAATTCTCCCTAACAGTTAATTCCTGCTGTAAAAAAAAAGTTTTAATTTTTTTTAGAATAATTCAAGAGAATCTGAGAACTTTTTTTTTATCCAGAAGTAAATTTTTACATAAAATAATTGTAAAAAAAGGGCTTGGAAGAAAAATGCCATCTTTGTTTTAAGTAGAGTTATCCCTAACATTTTTTTTATAAAGATGAATGAATACTGCAAAAGCAGTTGGCTGGTTCCTTCAGTTGCAATCTGAACTAGCTTCATTAAATTACGGTTCTGGAAACCCTAGAAAGCTGTAACCTTCTTGGCCTATGGAAATTCTTTGACTTGTCTGGTAGGTCTGCTTAGATTTCAACTGTTTCTTCGTATGTACAGCTGTTGCACTAACAAAAACGTCCCTTACGCTGTATTCATTGTGTTGCTTTTCATATTTTTATTTATAAACAAATTGGGCGTGAACCTCCTGACTCGTTTCCTTGCAAGTTTACACCTTGTGCTATGTATGTATTTCAGATTTTTTGTGAAGTCCTGTGTCTAGTGGATCTTTTTTTTTTTTTTTTTGACTGGGTGATTATGTGATAGGATGATATAGAACTAATTTTTAAAAGTAATGTAGGTATATTGTTCATTTTTTGTTCCTTCGATTACAAATGTAGTCTGGCAATCAATCCACAGGGTGAGGGGGAGTGCTGGGGCCCAGTCCAGGCACCATCTTGACTACCTGAACTGAGAAAAAAGGACCACAGGCTGGCTGTATCTCTTACAGAGCTGGCAGGCCTCCCTTAGGTGGGGGACACTCAAGGATGCCCTTCAGTATTTCTCTGTAGCATTAACTGTTGGTGATAATGAAGGGGCTTCTTTATTTCACTGTTGTGGTTCTTTTGAATTGAATGTTGTGCTTGTTGGGAGAAAGGGGAGTATTTGTGGGTTTGGGGGGGGGGGGCAGTTCCACAGATGGGTATGGAATTAGGAGAGACAATTGAGATGGGGAAAATGGGGCTTCCCTGAGTGAGTGGCATGGGAGTGGGTGAGTATGAGGGGAGGGGAATAAGAAAAGGTTTTCTAAACCTAGAAATAAGTGGAAGCTGGGAAGTATGGTTGGGATGAGCCAGAGGGTTTGCTCTCCTGGGTCATGGGCAAGGAAGTGGTTTGGGGGGGAAGCTGGAGTTTTACATTTCTGGGATGCTGGTTGGGGAATCGTTTATTGTAAGTTGCCCTGAGTCATCTTTGGGAGAGCAGCATATAAATATAAGAATAAATAATGTATACATTTTGAAAGCACACCTTCAATCTTTCTTTCCTTTGGAAATATGCTCCCCCTCCCTTCCTGTTATCAGCATCTGAGAAGAAAGAGGGTCAAGAAGTTTGGAGTAGTAAGTAAAAGGAAGAGAGCTGGATGTGATTGCTTGTGTAACTGATCTTGCTAACCGCTCCTGAGCCCCAACTTTAAACTTTATTGTAATCTCTGTTATGCTTTATTATGGCTTCTTATTCTTCATGAGAAAGTAGTTCCTTCCAGCAAAGAGAGAATCAATTTGTCCTTCTATTTCAGATAAAAGCTAAGCGCAGACTCTTTCTGTCTTTTAGGGTTGACGATATTGGTGTTCTTGTTACTTTCAGTCCCGTCATGTCACACTAAGCTTGGGAGGAATGCTGGTCTGGCTGTAGTTAATTTTAAATCGCTATGTTCATCCTTCCATCACGGGATCAACTCTAAAGTTTTATAGTGTGGGCTGAGCTTCAGCAACTCTTAATATTTGGAAGTATGGGTGAATTTAACCCCTTGCATTTATGTGGACTCATCCAAATCCATATTTTTAAAAATTTTTAAATATGTTAAAGGAGGAGATTCTAAGATCATCTGAATTTTGTAGCCCTTGAAAGACCCTGGATAATGCTATGGCATGTTGGCACTAATTGTACTTTTTGCACAGTATTTTGTTATAACTGAATCCTTATTTAGAAAACAGTTTTTACTTGCTCGTGTCAAATGAGTGACTGAATTCAGTCTGACCTGACTAAAGGAATTCAGTGCGTCTAAGCTACTGTTAATCTTGTTTTCAGCGTTCAGAGAGAGACTTCAAATGTGTTACAGCTGAATGATTTAAGTTGCTGTCCTCATTCTTCTCCAAAATAAATGAGGACAT